ATTATATTCGTTATTATCATTATTCATTGTAAGTAATCTTACAAACTAGTAAAGAAGCAACGGCATCAAAAAATGAATTAGATAAAGATGATAAAAAGTATTATATTTTAAATTTTTTTTTTTTTGATGTTACATTATTTGTACTAGTACATAAAAAATTTTTTTTATTCACATGATCCAGATATCCTATTACTATTACTATTTTCTAAAATTTCAATCCGCAATCCGTTAGCACTTTAAAAAAGCCATCCGTCCATCCGGATGGTTTTGCGGATATCCGGATTGACCATCCCACGGATCGCATCTCTATTTACATATATATATTAATATATATATTTCAAAACATGATGCACATTTTTATTATGCAGTTAAGATGTGTTAAAACTTGACAATTGGGTTTAATTATTGAATGAAAAAATGATATAAATATTTTATGTTTAATTTAAAATCTCAATAGTCATATAATGAATCATTACATAATTTTTTGAAAATTTCAAAAAAATTTTACTTTGGCTTTTAAAGCTAATAAAATTATTAATTGTAAACAAAACATTATAAATTTCAATTATGTTATGGGAATCATTATGAAAATTGATTTTTGCTTAATACACTAAAGTGATTGTGATAATAAAATTTTGAGTTATTTTTATTTCACTTTGTTCAATTATTTCCAATGATCTGCAAAATTGCCAATACTTATGGCAGGTGAGTGTATGAATAAATAATTGTTTTATTTTCTTGTTGTTAAATTTTTGTTAATCCATTAAAATCTTTCTGTATTATTAAAGAAATCAGCCAAGCCTTTTTTATAACATAAAGATCTTTATCTATGAATTTATAGGAACAAATAATTTTAATTTTTTAGCAAATTTTCTTATCATTAGATTACTTTTAAAAAAACGGAATATTTGCAGCCACGAGAAAATTGGATAATTATAATTAGAACAGTTTCCTTTTTAATAATGAACAATTAATGTTAAGATGAAAATTGGATAATGAGAACAGCTCCTTTTTAATAGTAAACAATTAACAAAAAACGGAATAATTCAATTTTTTGCAGATTAAGATCAGATAATGCCTTTTTTAATAATTAACTCAATCGTTAATTTAATGTTAAGATAAAAATGGGATCCAGTTGTTAATTTTAATACTAATCAAAACTGTCAAACAAAGCACATTGTATTTTTTTAATTGTGAAGATTCTCACTAACAAAAAACGGAATAATTCAATTTTTTGCAAACCATATAATGCCTTTTTTAACAATAATAATTCAATTGTTAATTTTATAAACTGTCGAACAAATTTTTAATGTACGATTAACAAGAAAACTTGCTATAATTAATAGTAATTTTATTAACTGTCCTTTTAAAGATGACAGGAGTAGCGCAGTAAACCTGTCCCCTGTCCTTTTCAAGGTTCCCATATTAAAAGATGAAAAAAGGCAGGGACAGGTTGTTCGTGCTACACCTGTCCCTGTACTTTTTAATGTTTTCAAGAAAATTACTACACAGGTAGACTCGATAAGTCGGTTTTGGCCTAAGTCAGCCAAAATTTTTCAGCCCTTTTTTTCCCTATTTAAAA